CTTGGAGATACTACCGCCTATATATTGCATTGTTCAGAGACAAACAAATGAAGAGTGGTTTGAAAAGCATTCTGTGGCAGTCCTTCTATTGAGATATTAGATGTGCAACATAATACATGTACAACCAAAAACTAAACTTTGCCATGACTATGTTATCATTGTGGTTGCCTTCTTATTATGATATTGATTTAGAGGTGAATAAAAGCAAAATAAAATACATGTAGTTTTCTGTTATATGTTATGGTAATTTTTCTAGGCCTGGAGGCCGTTTCTCGTAAGCCATGACAGTTTTCTTGAATTGTTTTGGCTGTTTGGGGGCATGGTGGAAAGCTACCTTTGGCAGTGGTGCATGACACATATTGTTAGTGGCTGATGTGGTTACAGCATTTGTTCTCCACGTCGTCTTTCTTGTGGCGCTAAGCATCACTGTGGATTCATCATGAAGTGGTCAGTCGCAAATCAAACATCAGAAAGCTTTGTCTGTTCATAGGTTCAACCATCACTTACGCAGGCGCATTGTTTTTACATCGATAGAAGTGACCCTCTCTTAGTCGTGTTTTCCAATGATAATTACTTTCACCAAATAATATAGTCCATATAAAAACTGTTTTTCATGATTTTGTATGTATTATTTTTTCCTCTTTGTTGGGGTAATGCAAGAAAAATATCCCTATATATATTACGTACGCTTCAGACAGTCCAAGTCACAAGACGGATATTTTGACTGAACAATGTTGTCAGGCATCAGTTACCTCCCATTAATGACTCGCTTTTCCCCAGTCACTTCTACGCGAGACTGTATGCGCAGTTTTGAAGAAAGTAAACATGTTTCAACACAATAACAAACAGGTGTGCGTTGGTGTGCCTCGAATGCTGCATATATTTTTTTAATCTACGATGAATGACATTTCAGAAAATACTAAATGTAAGTTTCTGAAAAATATGCTGTTAAATATTGTCAGATTTTGCTTAAATTTTAAAGCAAATATTTGTCAAAATTTGACTATTTAATTTTCTCTTTTTACGGTTTCACTCATGTCATTCAATAGCTTAAGCATCTATCAATGACTGTAGCAAAGTTAGTTTAATTATTTTCATTAATAACACTTTTAGATGCTTTTTTGTGTGACATGCAGAATTTCCCTGTATGTGATCAGGCAATCACGCGAAAGAGCGACCTCCTCTCAGGTAGTAACTTGTACTCGTAATGGGGGACCGTTTCGCGTACACGTTACATCCTCTATTCATCATCATCATCATATATACATTTGTATAGCGCCGATATCCAGCTCCGCTCAGCTGCTCAAAGGCGCTTTGTTTTTCCCTCGTTCACTGGATGTCAATCTCAACGGCACTTCGTATTGTCAATCTCAACTCCCTGGGGATCATACAAACTCTTGCAGCCACTAGGCGCACCGAGTTATTGTGGCATTCCCATCCTTACGAGGTACCCATTCACAGCTGGGTGCACTGGGACACATAGTCACAGTACTTTGTCCAAGTTCACTGCACGTTGCTGTACCCGCAACTGGGTGTTTGCACGTATTCATGTGGCCACCATCTGGTCATATACCTACGGATTCGTGGGTTCTTTTAAGTGCACAGGGTTGTGTACTGTACACTAGGGGTTGTGACAACACTGAAAGAGTCTGCACATTGCCCTATTGACCATGGAACCATGCCAACTTACACTTAGCAGTGCTGCTAATATTTTATCTATGGCGAGCGATTATAATAAGAGCAAAATATACTTCCGGGTTTGTGACATCACATAGGTGATAGCTAACTTATGGCAAATTGCTGCATGTACTCTACACATTTTGCTACTATTTTTCTTAGTACGGTATATTACCTTAGAAAAGCTGAATTTTGAAGACAATAACAAACAGCCTGTAAAACGGGGTTGAATTATCTACAGGTAACACTTTCGTCAAACTATTTTCAGGTGGTAAGAAAACAACATCGTATCGCTTCGTGTGAGTGAACAAGACAAAACGGTCTTGTCAGTGAAAACATCAAATTTCCAGTTAAATATCGCTTGTCAAGAATATTTACATTTGCAGTGCCGATTTGTTTCTGCTAGGCATTGTATTATATGCTGGGATTAGAATTACTGTGTGTATTTGTCTCGTATATAAGAGCCGGAAATAGCAATCAGCTGTTCACATGTTTCCCCGCGATCTACCAGCAAACTCCACATACTACAGCATTGTTTTAAGGCATTGTGGCTGTTCCATTTAATGAACATATGCCCTCAAAAGAATTTTGAGATTAACTTTACAAATTTTTGTTTATATGTGGGAAATTAGTGTCCAGGCTAATGAATTACTTAGAACAAACATTCTAGCACGACATTGTGTGATACTCGATTCTGATTGGCTGAGAGCTCATCAAAACTGTACTTAAATGGCAGTTTAAGACCGCTAATTAAAATGACTGATTCGCCGCATATGAATACAACGAACTCGTTGACCCTATTGTTTGTAAACAAACATGTCGGACATCGGCAATTTCTACCTCGGCAGCATCTTTGCTGTTTTTGAAGTAAAAAGGGAATGGTTTGAAGAAGAATTTCTTGACCCTAATCCCAGTGAAGAAACCACGAAGCTGGAAAATCCGTCAGCAGCGCAAAAGCGGCAGTATATTCAAACCGGGTCCAGATCTAGCGGGCATGACGTTGACAACACAAGTCGGCCCACACGTCTTAACCTGACCGCTTCAGTCCCGGCGGTAATGCCCAGTCCTTCCACTTCTACTGTCCATGTATCATCCATAAAACGTGGCATATCAGGTCTTTTCCAAATTGGGAATAGTTGGGTGGTTATCAACAATTATTTCCATGAATAAAGTTAGCGGCGACTAAACTTAGCGAGTTCACGGCTTGAATTGGGGCGAATCGATTGTCATACAGTAGGGGAGATTAGTAATATATTCGCTTGAGAAAAATCAAATAATTGTACTTGCTCACAGTACTTTAAACTGTACTTTTTTATATTTATGTATGCTACTTGCTACAAATAAAAGCATGCTGGTTCCTGAAATATAGCATTTATGTTGTTGAAAATGTCTTATGTTCATTACACAACCTCTCCCTCAATGGGACGATTCCAAGCGATTTCCAGGAAAAAGGCCCCTTCACGCCTTGTGTTCATGCGCACCAAACAGTTCGGTTTTAGAACGCTTATCAGTCGTGCTAGAATGAAGATAAAGCTACTCTGTTTACAATTTTGCGGTCCTTTATATTTGATTTAAGACCGCTAAATGTAATTTAAAAAACCGAACACGTTATTTATCTTCTAAATATTGATCCCAATATAACAGCATAACAATCACAATTAGCTTCATTCTTTTACAGATATAAACAGAATTCCAAATTTAGATGAGACTTCCGTCAAAATATTTACATTCACATCAGGGTATCGGTCAAATTTCTTATGTTCGCATCAAGATATCTGTCAGAAAAATGACGTTCGCAATTTCGTTTCCGTCCACAAATGGCGCTAGCAACACATTTATTTCAATTCAAGAAAAATCGACTACGATTGTTGACATGACGGTTCAGAATGCACCATTTTCCAGCATTTAGCAATATCAAGAAACATTTCATAAATGAACATCAACGATTCATCGATCTTATGAAAAGTCATGTTGCTATTTGCAATGTAACATTTTTTGACAGAAAAAGATTATATTAAAAAATCTTACCTGTGAGACCATTTTCGCAGTACTCGTCCGATGCTATTGTGTTTGCAGACGATAAAGAGGGACATCTAGCGACAAATAGTGTTTTCGGCAGGAAGGAAAGGACCGCTGACAATCCCACGATTGTTGCGATAACTAAAATTACATCAACTTTCACTTTTTTTAATCACAGCAGAGAGAACTTATTTATGATGAAAAATATGAGGGTACAGGTGCACTTGTTAAATACAAACCAATCTATATTTCAATATATTACAAGGTTTTGTTTACGTATATAATCATGTCGTTGATAACGTCAGCATGTTTGACAGAACATAAACCAAATATTTGCATACAAATTAACGTTAAATTGTGATATCTCATAAGCATGTTTGGTTTTTATAGTCGACGCCTTGTCCGTCATTTTGTTTCTGGAGCATAACTCAAAAACAGCTGAATATTTTTCAACAAAATTTGGTAGATATATCAAACAGAACCTAAGGTGGTGCCTTTTGCTATGTACAGATTTTTGTCATTTATATTTTTCTCGGTTTCCATGGAAACGTTTTAGACTTAGTCTTAAAGGTAGTGGTGGGTTTCATTTCCGGAGCACAACGCTAAATCTTCATATCTTTCAGCAAAACTTGGCAGATAAGTTAGGCAGATCCCAAAGTGGTTCCTATTGCTATTTGCAGATTTATGACATTTTCATTTTTCACGGTTTCCATGGGACTAACTCTTGTTGAAAATCTATTATTTTTTAATCACATACCATGTACACAAATAACAATGGTAACAAGAATAAAATGTTAAAATTAATTACTTGATTTATAATACAAAGTCAGAGGTCAATGAAATATGGAGGATGAATTCCGTCAAACTGACATTAGCACCAACAATATAGCATGGCTACTTTCACAAATGAATATTGTATTTTATTTTTTGTGTGATTTTACAGTTATTTTTATTTACATTAACAATCATAAATGAAAACAAACAAAGTTACAATGTTTTTATTTAATTTTATTTGAAAACATCAAGTCGGACAAACAGTGTGCACTTTTCAATGGAAGATGTCAGCAGGGTACACAAACAACTCACTCTTTACACAGAAAATAGTTTAATTTCATCGTTGACAGCCTCTTTTTTAGGTGGCTGTCTTTGACAAGTGTTGAAGCTATTGAGTGCATTTCTTGGTGATAAATGTCACAGATGTTCTTCCTACATCAAGTTGACATACCATGGTAAACGTGAAATACTGTAATACCTAATGCTTGCTTCATTCCTGCCTTGTCTTATAAATAGTTTTTCCTTGTCAGGCAGTGGAAGGTGGTTTTGCTGACTGTGTGCAACTACTTCTAGACAGCCATGCAGATGTGGATGCAGTGGACAAAGAAGGAAATACATGTCTTCACATGGCATGTCTTGATGCCACTCCTCAACTTGTAACCATGCTGCTGAAGAAACATGCAAAAATCAATACCAAAAATAAGGTGAGGAAATATTAGTTCCAAATGATGGTAAATGTGTGTTAATATTTATTGTGTTTACAGTAGATATGCAATCTTACTGTTTCTTTGGTATTTGCCCTGACAAATGATCAAAGTGTTGTATGCTTATCCTAGATAACTACTGCATAGCTCAACAATGACATTTGCCACATCTTACTGAAAGTCCACTTTGTAACAAACAATTTATTAAAATATATACTTTTTGCAGAAATATGCAAATGGGAGTGATTAAAGGTTTTGTCTAAAATACATCATAGATATAAATTCTGTATTTTGGTTGTTTTCCAACTATGAAAATCTGAAATTAGGAAATTGCTTAACCAATGTCCTCTTTACTACCAGCCATATTAATTTTAAAACAAACCAAATCCCCTGCCCAGTTCATCTGCACACACATAAGGTGGGAAACTATCACTTCTTTCCTGTATAGGGCGGTGGGGTAGCATAGTGGTTAAAGCATTGGCTCGTCATGCCAAAGACCCGGGTTCGATTCCCCACATGGGTACTATAATGTGTGAAGCCCATTTCTGGTGTCCCCCGCAGTGATATTGCTGGAATATTGCTAAAAGTGGCATAAAACAATGCTCACTCGCTCACTCACTCTTTCCTGTATTTTTGGGGATCAGGCTAAAACATCCAGCACACTTTTTTTGAGTGGTGTAATCACTGTGTGGCTCATAAAGTTAATAGATCCTAACATGCAGTACTAATCTGGTTTAAGAGAAGGATTAATCAAGTGAGTATAATTTAGTTGATTGAATTTTGGGAGCATTAACTCTCAACTTGCTGTCAGTGCACAGAAATGTTCCCTGTGCCCTATCTTTATCATTGTTGAGGAAGAGTAGATCAATTGGAAAGTCATCTTCATCAGCCAATAAGAAGGCCCAAACACCAGCCCCGCTAATCTCCAACAGCGTCCTTGTGCAGTTGGTAAGATCTCAGTAGGGAGCCATGCAAGCATCTGTGACTGCTTCCATGTCAGCCATGATGGACAGGATCCTGTTGTCCTCCCTGATGATCTCACAGGCCTGATGGACAGGGTAAAGCTGTCCTCCCTGATGATCTCACGGCGCTGATGGACAGGATCCTGTTGTCCTCCCTGATGATCTCACAGGCCTGATGGACAGGGTAAAGCTGTCCTCCCTGATGATCTCACGGCGCTGATGGACAGGATCCTGTTGTCCTCCCTGATGATCTCACAGGCCTGATGGACAGGGTAAAGCTGTCCTCACTGATGATCTCACGGCGCTGATGGACAGGGTAAAGCTGTCCTCCCTGATGATCTCACGGGCCTGATGGACAGGGTAAAGCTGTCCTCACTGATGATCTCACAGGCCTGATGGACAGGGTAAAGCTGTCCTCACTGATGATCTCACGGCGCTGATGGACAGGGTAAAGCTGTCCTCCCTGATGATCTCACGGGCCTGATGGACAGGGTAAAGCTGTCCTCACTGATGATCTCACAGGCCTGATGGACAGGGTAAAGCTGTCCTCACTGATGATCTCACGGCGCTGATGGACAGGGTAAAGTTGTCCTCACTGATGATCTCAAGGCGCTGATGGACAGGGTAATGTTGTCCTCACTGATGATCTCACGGGCCTGATGGACAGGGTAAAGCTGTCCTCACTGATGATCTCAAGGCGCTGATGGACAGGGTAATGTTGTCCTCACTGATGATCTCACGGGCCTGATGGACAGGGTAAAGTTGTCCTCCCTGATGATCTCACAGGCCTGATGGACAGGGTAAAGCTGTCCTCACTGATGATCTCACGGCGCTGATGGACAGGGTAAAGTTGTCCTCACTGATGATCTCACGGGCCTGATGGACAGGGTAAAGTTGTCCTCACTGATGATATCACGGCGCTGATAGACAGGGTAATGTTGTCCTCACTGATGATCTCACGGGCCTGATGGACAGGGTAAAGTTGTCCTCACTGATGATCTCATGGCGCTGATGGACAGGGTAATGTTGTCCTCACTGATGATCTCACGGGCCTGATGGACAGGGTAAAGTTGTCCTCACTGATGATCTCACGGGCTGATGGACAGGGTAAAGTTGTCCTCACTGATGATCTCACGGCGCTGATGGACAGGGTAAAGTTGTCCTCACTGATGATCTCACGGCCCTAATGGACAGGATCCTGTTGTCCTCCCTGATGATGTCACGGGCCTGATGGACAGGGTAATGTTGTCCTCCCTGATGATCTCACGGGCCTGATGGACAGGGTAATGTTGTCCTCCCTGATGATCTCACGGCGCTGATGGACAGGATCCTGGTGTCCTCACTGATGATCTCACGGCGCTGATGGACAGGGTAATGTTGTCCTCCCTGATGATCTCACGGGCCTGATGGACAGGATCCTGGTGTCCTCCCTGATGATCTCACGGCGCTGATGGACAGGGTAAAGTTGTCCTCACTGATGATCTCACGGCGCTGATGGACAGGGTAATGTTGTCCTCACTGATGATCTCACGGCGCTGATGGACAGGGTAAAGTTGTCCTCACTGAGGACAGGGTTTATGTCAACCTCCAACCCAACATGGGGACAGTAAGGAGGCAAGTGATGTGTAAAGTTATGAGGCTGAATTGGCTCCAATAAAGAAGATTATACCTGCAGGAGATATTCCATCTGCTGCCAGGAATTGAGATCGAGGGTGGAGGAAAAGCTGATCCTATATACAGTGAAACCTGTCTAAACCGGCACCCCATGGGACTGAAATATAATGCCTGTTTAGACAAGGTGCCAGATTAGACAGTGACGATGATTTTGCAACTTGGCTGCCATTTACACTCGTTTTGTCTGTGAAGTATTGTTTTCTTCAAATTCGATCAATATACGCTTTTTCAAAATGTCCGAAACAGTTTGCCTGCCAATTTGATATTTAACTGCAAGTTCTTTCTGAGAGGGCCGAACAAGAGTATCAGAATCATTGATAAGCTGAATTTTTTTAACAAGTGTAAACTCCAAACGTGCCCACTTAGCTGGTCTAGCCATCATGACACAGAAAGTGACTGACGAGTCAATAAAACCATTGCCTATTACATATGTCACTCTCTTGAAAACAGTTAATGCAATCCCCTAGTGTTTATAAAGCATAAACGCAGTAATCCTACTGATTGGACTGCTCATACCCATGCCGGCTTAGAGCGGTTACTTTCTGGTTATCTTGCGTGCCATGAGGATTTATAAGTGTATTTAATTATGGGTCCTTGATTGGACTGCTCATACTAATGCCGGTTTAGACAGTGTTAATTTCAGTTAAAATTGCTTGTTGGGACCGGAAAGTTGTGCCAGAATACAGAATAGACAGGTGCCGGATTAGACTGTTTTAATGATAATAATATCGTTGTAAAATGGCGGGACCAAAATTTTATGCCGGGTTTGACAGTGTGCCGGATTAGACAGGTGTGGGTGTTGGCAGGTTTCACTGTAATTCCAGTTTCACTCTTTGTGAACTAGGCTGGAATCATGGAGTTTCAGACTTTGGCAGACCAATGAATCGATCCATAGTCCAATTCAAATCCAAAGCAAAATCCACAATCGTTTCATAAATAATATGGAGGCTGCTGTGCATCTTTTTGTTGATTGCAGTATTTATAGACAATTTGAACCATCAACTTGGTATTAACAGATATTTTTTAATTCTTTTCATGTTTTTGTTCTAGTGATCTGAGACTTTTGGTTATAGTCTGTTTGCTGCAATATCATACCGTTGAAATGACAAATAAATATACATTGGAAAGTGACATATCATCTTAAATGGCATGAAAGTTAGTTAGTTTTCCATACCAACCCATCACTATAATTTCAGACATTGATAAACGACTTTTTCCCTTCTTTATGCCAAACGACCATGTAAATGTTGGGTGTATTGATGACTGTTGAATCAAGGGTGTATGTAGACCAGGCCACCATTCGCACATGACAATCACAAGTGTTTTGCCAACCCACAACTGTCGTTTTTGTAATATAGGCCTGTCAAAAGAAATGTCCACATTAGGAGCGTATCTTTCTGTACTTATTTATACAAGTATACAAATGGAATCTGTAATATGTTTTCAAAGCAATGTTAGGAATGTTCTTTATGTTGCTATTCAGATAATTATAAATGCAGATAATTAATAAAATGTACAGAATGAGCTCAATCCATCATTATAGTACGGTACATGATGGAATTCACAGGTAGTTTGAAAACCCTTATATTTCATGTTTATGATTATCGTAAGTTGGAAGAGGAAGGGGGAACATCCTTTCTCAACGTAAAATGTAGTAGTGTCTCTGAGCAACAATTATCTGTGAACCACACTCATGAAGCAGAAACAGGTACATGAGGTGATTCACCTTGATGAAACATGGGTCAATGCATGCCATACTGTGCAACATCAGTGGTGTTTATCAGATGTGAAACCTCTCGTAAACTACCTTTAGGTAGAGGTGAGAGACTGATCCTTCTGCATGCAGGATTTCCTCCTGGATGTGCTTTGATTATAACGAAATGAAAAGTCAAGTCTTTCTGGAATGGGTGGAAAAAATGTTTCTTCAAGTTCTACCTCCAAAATGGCAGATCCTTATTGACAATGCTCCCTATCACAGTTCACAAGACCAAAACACAAGGGCACCAACATCAAATTCCAGGAAGGACAACATGATATGTTGGATGGAGTCACGTGATGTTCCATTTCCCACTAAGAGTACCAAACCTATGTTGTATGACATAGTGAAGGCCAACAAAACAAAGCCTGTGTACAAGGTGGACATTGCCCTACAATCACATGGACACGAGGTCCTGAGACTACCACCTTATCAGTATGACCTGAACTTGTCTGGGACATTGTAAAAGGCGATGTTGTCTAAGGCAATACAACATACAAATTATCCGATGTAGAGAAACTAGTCAGAAATAGTTTAGACAAGATTGGTAAGATCACTTGGGCCAAGTGCAATGACAAAGTTTAGTTTTAGTTTTACGCCGCACTCAG